CCAAATATCTAGCTAAGCGAGATGCCCTATGAACTAGTCCTTATATGACTAAAGCGAGTATCTCCTAAAAGAACCCTCACTAGACGAACTTGTCGAGGTAGTCTACACCACATGAAATACCCCCACTCGCTCCCATCAAAAGTAAATTTTAACTCACCAGTTCATATTCATTATCACCACGGTTCATGTTTTTAAGCACATTCATGTCATTGAATAAACACATTCTCACAGGCACGTAAAGGGAGGATGATTCAATTATATGATGTAAATTGAGCTTACTAAATTGTGGGCAAAATGGGAGGTGCTAGGCTTTATGTTGGAGGTGACAAAATATGGTGATGGTGAAAAGGAGACTTAGTAGTTGCCTTCACTGTATTCTCCTTCCGGTTCCTCGACGTAGTCCGGCATGCTCCTGATAACTTTGTCTGCTCAGTCCGCATAAACACAAGAAACAAGCAACAACAAACATAGATAGAGCTTGATTTTAGAAGAATTTTGGTGGTGGTTTCATGGAAAAATAGAGTTGGGATGAAGGAGTATGTTTTTTGTAAGTTTGGATAGAGTTTGGGAATTTCTAGAATTTCTGGAGATATTTAGATGGATATAAAAGGCATGAGAAAGTTCTACAGTGTCTAGAGTTTATTTAGGAATTTTCCAGGAATGACGGTAAGGGGCGGCGAGATCTTTTCCAGTCCGATAGGATATTTTTGCTGTCGCACGTGCTTGAGCTCAAGGAGCGAGCAGATGCACTGGACACTACATCGATGCTCTTGTGCTCAGTTGAGGTCAGCGACAAGTGGGGCGTGAGGAGCTCCATCAATGGCACTGGTGGGATTTTTGCACCGGGCCGACCGCTGGCTTTGTCGCGTGTTGGTACGTTTTGTCAGGAGGGACAGCTGATGCTAGTGCTGTCGTCTTCTCCACTCTCCAGTGCCAGAACAAGACAACGACGGGGTCAGGGTGTTAAATGGCATCGCGTGGATTTCGGCAGAGGAGTGAGAGAAAGCTGACGGTCGAGGCCCGCGCGTAAGTGAGAGGAAAACGGTTGACGGCTGGAGTTGCTGCGTCAATGAGAGTAGGGGGAGGGAGTGGGTCACGCTAGGCCAGAAAGAGATGTGAAGGGAGAGTTGAGCCCAAGCATTTTCTATTTATGCAAACCTTTTCTAATTTCCTAGAAAATTCTTTACGAAGATTCAGAGATAAGTTTTGAGTTGAAATTAAGGAGTGCTGAAATCAAGGAGGGTTTCAAGGGGATAATACCACCATAAGCCCAACAAACAAAATATAAACAATTAAAGCAACATTACACATGCAGCTTGGTTTTATTTTGTGGACTTTTTCTGCGGCACAAAATAGAACCTAGCACATCATGTTCATTTAAGTTATATGGAAAATTTAAAATTCCAAATTTTTAGTGATTTTCAACTCGTGGCAAAAATCAGGATATTACAGAAATCATTCATCGCCGGAAAAAAGGGCATGCACACTACTAGCAAAGATGCCAATGAACAGAACTAGTCGTGAGATCTTGCAGTCCCCAAAACATGATTCACCCACACACCCGCACAAATAGAGAATGGAGAGGTGCGATGGTTTTGTGCATCGTACACACGTGAGGCTCTTGAAGGACGCCTATACTTATGCGCATAGAGGAAGAGGAGATGGAGGGTCAAAAGGATGCAGCTGGATGAGAGACGTTACTGGACTGAGTAATCACATAGTAACTGACAGAAACTCCGGCAATGATTTCTCCCTAAGTGCTCTAGGGAACTGCCCATTTGATGGCTCCATCAAACGACCCAAGCAAAACCCATCTCACCTCACACATCTTGCCGTGGTGTGGCCCAAGCCCATGCATATCAGAATGCCACGCTATGGCTCGGCGAGTGCACATGACACCCTTCGTCTCTCGTAACTTTACAACATATACACACACAAGCTACATATTTAAGTTGAGACAACATTTAGTCAGAGGGCCTGTTCGCTGGTTGGTGCTGGTGCTGGTGCTGATTTGGGCTGGCTGGTGCTAGTTTTTTGTGAGAGGAAAACACTGTTGGCTGGCTGGTTTGGGCTGGCTGAAACCAACAAGCGAACAGGCTGAGAAAGAATCTCATTCGAGACTAAGACTTTAATGCACCTAGTATTTAATATGACCGTTGGGGAGATAAAAAAATGACCATTATGATTTATTTGAATTAAGAATAGACCAAACTCAATTAAATATAACAATTTCTTGGTGCACATGCTTAATATGATATTGATTAGAGAATTATGAATATTCTTGTAACTGCTCTAGGTGTCCAAGTGGCAAAACCCAACCTACCCCACACCACATTCTATCATGGTGCGGCCCGAGCCTGTGTAGGCCATGCCTCGACTTGGATCGGTATGCATGCACGTATGGCACACTCTTCTTCTGTTTCAACTTTGCAACTGGTGCACATATAAGACACATATTTAATTTAAGACAACATTTAGTCGAAATCACATACGAGAGACTAAGACTTAAATGCACCTGACATTCAACTTGGACCTTTTGATTTATTCGATTTAATTGAATTTAAAACGGGCCAAATTTAATTAAATCGATCAATTTCTTCATGCACATGATTAATATGATATTGATTAGAGATTTTTTTTATGAATATGAGATTGATTCTAGCGGTGGGCTTGATGGTTCTGGCGGTGGTAGTCGAGCTGGTGTTGATGATGGACTACTGAGTGGCTCGAAACCTCACCTGCGATCCTTACCACCGATATGCATGGTTCCGAATGAACTGAGTTGGGGTGTGAGAGAGAATGAATCAGAGGCTCTGTGACCAGCAGTGTATATAGGGACTGTCAAGGAGGAAGGCGGAGAGGATAGGGAAACTTCCAAAATCCACTGCCAGAGCTTCCGTAGAGGAAGGCACCTTACCTATCCCGATTCTCAACATCCAGATAGCCCAATGGCCGTTAATTGTCCGCACACGGTCCTGGCAATTTGCTTCGTATTGATACGCATGGTGGATTTGGAAACCATATATAAGCGCATACCTAGTGGATGGTACGATGATCCTACAGACCTAGGACACAAATCATAAGTCAATCCGCACCGGCACCACACCCGTTTTCAAACCACACACATCGAAGCTAGTAGTCTTGAAGCTGCTTGCCATACGTCGCACGGTGGCACGTTGGCACTTGATCGATTGGCATTGATGGTCACAATGGAAGCGACTGAGCTATGTTTCTTGGCCTGGCACAGGGACACGTTCTCTGAAGACGGAGAGAGATGACTGACCTAGGAACGAATGTGATGTCTGCCGAAAATAGGTGGAAACCAGAGGCCTACTTAGGGTGTTTGATTTGTAGAATGGGGTGGTCCATCGTCATCTTACTCTTTAGTTTTATGATTGGTTTATGGAATAGAATGAGTTAATCCATCATCACCTCGTTCTCACGGGCTAATAATTAGTACGAGTACAAGAAATGTGGTTATTTCACTAAATTTAGGAATGAACTCATAATGCATCACCTCATTTCGAATGAGTTGATTCTGCAAACCAAACACTCTATAATACTATTCAATAGTAACCCCCAATATTTACACCACAAATGATAAGTTAGTCAATCAGCTGGTCAAAGCCAGCCTACTCTATACCGTGGATGACCAAAGTTACGCAGGCAACCACAAACAAATTAAGGGTCTGATTGGTTGTCGTAGTAGCTTGTATTTAGGCTTATGCAATGAAGTTTGTTTGTGTTTGATTGTATGTATAAGCTCTTATGTAGATTTGCACGGTGCTCAAAGCAGACCCAATGTTACATTAGCTATTAAACTGATTTAACTTGGTCATATTAGGAAATGTAGGTTTGCACAAGGATACACACACAAAAATGAAATATTCTAATTCCCCATATCTCAACTAGAAACATGAGATTTCAATTAGGAGATGACTACATGTAACAAGATGTAAACATGAAACACAATTTTAGCAAATATGCCTTGTTTATGCAGAACAATCAATCAACAAGTCACCACATATGTTTCTTTGACTTAAGTTATGTTGTATAAGGTATAATACAAGCTAAAGCTAATTCAAGCAACCAATCAGATCTACATACATTTATACTAGCTTATTTTACGCTGCATAAGGTTTAATACATAAGGGTAATGAAAGCAACCAAGCAGACTCTATAGAAACATCTTGTGGGTCTCGGGGGTAGTATCACTAACCATTTGGTAGGTCAGGATAGAGACTCATATATTTGTGCAAAAGCATCTATCGCCCTGTTCGCTTGGCTTATAAGCCATACCTTTTCAGCCAACGAATAGTATTTGGCTTATCAGCCAAGCGAACATGGCATACATTGAGGGGCTTAACAAAAATTGTCAAGTCCTTGCTGGGTGGGCTTTGACTAGCTGCACTATTTGACTTGCAATGCTGAACTGTCCAATCCCAAGCTTGCCTGGAGCCATCGGCCATGGTTTGTTAAGGGAATTGATGATAGAGGTTTCTTGGAAGGTCCACAGCACATAGCAAGGTACCTTGGGTTGGTTTTATTTATTAAGACATAGATATATGCAATGATTTTATATAGGAATATTTTTACTAGATAGCACACGGAAAAGGAAGCTAAGAAAACTAGTTTCATGATATTTCAAACAATGGAGAATTAATTATGTATTTAAAAAGCTAAGAGCTTGCTTGTTTAAGTTTAAATAAAATTATAACATAACTTGTTGTGGAAACATATTTTAAAAGAGTTTTGCTATTTATCTGTCGACAGTTTTTTGTTATAAAAATCTGTCAAGTTATTGACCGTTGAATCTGCTTTAGGATTTGTGCAGTGTACCCTTGTTTTTCTGAGTTTTATTGGGTTTGAAGTCTGAACCCACCTACCCGTATCCACTCGTCACCTGCCAAATATCTCTCTCCTGTTTCTCTCTCTACATCTATCGACAGCACAGGCACAGAGGCCGCTGCCTCGCTCACTGGCGAAGCCCCGCGAGGGAGATGGCCGGAGGCTGGGCGGCGGCGCTGAGAGGCCGCGCCGCGGCGACCGAGGCGGCCGTAGGCGAGCCGGCGCTTCTGCTGGTCGACGTGGCGGCTGCGCTGCTGCGGGGCTACGCCGCAACCCGCCGGACGGCGGAGGGCGCAGGCACGGAGGCGTTCCAGCGTGCTGCTGTCGCCGGCGGCGGAGGTCGGATTGGCACTGGGGTTTTTCGGTTGCTTCGCTTTCTTGAATCTTTGATGTTATTTGAATGGGTCGTTCTCCATTTCCCCCTTTACAGGCATAGTACTACCCACGTGTGCTCACATTTGCTGATTCCAATTGATGTTCGAAGCTTCAATCTGCAGGTATGTGGTCTTCGACTCGTCAGATCTGCTATGTGATTTGATTTTTTGTGTGAGCTATATGCTTAGATGCAGGTTGTTTTGTACTAAAATTAGTGTTAGGGTTTGACGTGTTCATGTAGAGGCAATAGTAATCTAATGTTTTTTCTCCTATTTTGTTGTGCTCACGATTGTGAAAAAGGGAGTGTGGAGTCGGATCTCTTTGGGTGCTTTGTGATATTCAAGTTCCTGTGATTTTTTATATTATATTAAATTGGGGGAGATGAAGAGGTTATCTATTTAGGTTGTTTGGTCAGCTATTCTCTGTTATTCTTGGTCTCTATAGGATGTGATTCTGCTTTGTGCCGCAACTTGTGAAACTGTGTGATCTAAAACTTTCATTTGCAGTCCTCCTTTTTATTGGAGTTAATTGTATTGTCATTTCTTAGTTGACGAATCGAGTCACTGTCACGAGATTAATTGGTTTCACTGCTTGAAATCATGATCGTTGTTCAGTCTTAAAATCAAAGAATGTTTTGCGTGATAAATTTTAACTGAACTGTCAGCTCCTTTTTATTTGTTCAATTATTTATCGCTGAAAGTTGCCCTTGATAGGAAATTTACATCGATGAGTAAACTTTTCCTGTCCCATTCATGTCTGCTAGGTTATTCAGAGATATATTGTTCTAAAGTATTTGCAGATGATGACGCTATAAAGAAATCATTGAGAAAGTAAACTACTGCTCAGAATTCTAGCATCAACCAAAAAGGTGTTAATTCACCACTGGTGCATATACTGCTAAATTAACACAGAAGAAAGCATATACATATATGCCAAAGTAGCACAGTCAAGGTCAGCAAATCTCATCTCAGTTCAGCAGTACAGAGAGCTAGCTGATGGTGAATTAAACTAATTGCACACGCACACCATGAATAAGAGCAGAAACCAAGCAATCCAAAACCACACACGTACAGAAAAATGTAGAAACATGAAATAGGTGTGAGGTTTTGTGTGGTTGTGTGCTTTTCTGGGCTTTATTTTGGGTTTTTTTGGCTTAAATATTTTGATGTGGCAGTTATGTGTGTTTGTATTTTGCTTTTTAAGGACCCCAAACTAATTGTTTTTTTTTCCTGGGTTGTCTTTTAGTTGCTGCTGCTTGTTGGGCTGCTACTGATCAGCAGCAGCAAATGCAGTTTCTGAACATTTCTGTTGCTTCTGCTTTGCTGCTATTGATTAATCTGCTAGAGCTGCTGTCGTTGGAATAGTTGGAAAGTTGCTAGAGCTACTGCTGCTTGAATAGTTGGAAGTATTTAATTTTTGGTGGAGTAGTAGAAGTTGGAGTTGATTTTTTTTAGCTGTTGTTCTTTTTTGTCCTTTGCCTTTTGAGTGTGTCTCTGTTTGTGGTTGTTTCTATGTGTCTGGGTGCATTGTGGTGATGTGCCGTTTTGTTTTTGTTTTTGTTTTATTCTTTTTCTTTTTCTTTTTCTTTTTTTGTTCTAGCAGATCTGTATTTCTGCTGTTGTATTTTTTTCTGCTTTTGTAGTTGCTGCTGCCTTTTTTTTTGTGTGTGGGGTCTTTCTTTTGGGCTTTTTTTAGCTTCAATTTTAGTGCTTTTCTTTTTCTTTTTTTTGTTTTTTGTTCTAGTAGAGTGGTTTTGTCTTTTTCTGGGATTTATTTTGGGCTATTTGTGGGCCTTTCTTTAGGCTTCTCTTTTTGTGGATGTGGCAGGCCATTCTATGTGAGTGTGAGTGTCTCTGTTTGTGTTTTTTTATTGTGTGTGTGTGTTTGTTTGGGTCTGTGTGTGTGTGGACTTCTGTGTGGGTTTCTGTGTCTCTCTCTCTTTTTGTCTGTGTTTTTTTTTTTTTAGTTTTCTCTAGGTTGATTTTGACTTGGAACTTGAGTTGTTTCGGTTAATTTGTGTTTTATATCTGATGGTTGCTTGCAATTTTTTGGATGTGGTCATGCCATGTAGGTTATTTGAGTTTTTTTTTTGGGTGTTGGAGGGGGATGAGCAGCGTTTTATGGTTGGGCATGGGATTCTGTTTTAGTATTCTATGATTGCTTGTCACCTCGTAGTCTGGTGGTCTTTTTTGTTGTATGAGTTGTAGCTGTCGGTGTTGGGAGCTTTGTCTCCTTCCTGCATGTGAAGTTTTGTAGCTGTATGAGTTGTAGCTGTAGGTTTTTTTTTGCTATCATCTTCAGTGTGTGGACTGCTTTGTTGCTGTATTTGAGGCATTGGATGTGTTTGTTGCTGATGACCTGCAAGTGTTACAGATTGTGCACTTTGCATGTTAGTGTTGCTGCTGAATTATTGACTTGCAAGTTGAGCTGTTTGAGTAATCTGCATTTTATATCTGATGATTGCTTGCAATTTTGAGGATTTGGTGGGTGCATGTGTTTGTCTTTGTCAGATTGATTTATGCCTATGCTTTGCATTGTTTTCTGCCACTATCCATAGTGTGTAAGTTTTGCTGATTGGTCTTGATATATTTTGATATTGCTAATTAGCATGTCATTTTTTGGTCGTGCTGTATTTTTTTTGCTTATATTTTTCTGCATATTACAGGGTTTTCGTTCCGTTGATACTGTCACTTCCGAAAGATCAGCTTAAGGTGATTATTACATGCCTATCTTTGCATTTAGATTTCCGTTGTTCAGTAGTATTCTATAGCTTAACTAGTCATCGAGATATGTGCATAAATAGGTTTGTGATGGCCAATGATTGCATTTGTGAGGAAGTTGAGAAGTTGGCTGCTGCATAGTTTGTTATGTCAAAGTTGTTGCTGCAACAACTTTGAACAGTGCTTTTTTTTGGGTGTGTGTGTGTGTGTGGTTGTGTGTGTCTTAGCACTCTTCCATAAGGTCTTCAACTAAAATATCTCATTTATTCATTTTGCTGTTGCCAATGTTGCCATAAAATTGCAAATGGTATCTCATTCTCATATAATTCTTACCACAGGCACTTAAAGAAGCCTTTGAGGTCTTCTGCAACAAAGGTGTCTCCGGCAGGTCGAGTGCTAAGTTGTTGGCTACCTTCTGCGACAATATTCTGAAGAAAGGTTGCAGCATAGTTGTTAAGGCGTCGTTATACCGACGCCATATCGTCGCCATATCGCCGTGGCGTTTTTCCGGCTCTTGCCACGGCGACGCCACGGCTCCGGCGTGTATGGCGTCCGCCATAGCGCCGTGGCGTCCCCGTGGCGCCGATTTGGCGTCCTGTGGCGCCTTTGTGCGCTGTGGCGGGCGCAATAGACGGTGAGGGTGAGGGTGAGGCCGTGAGGGTACCTGTAGGGGCCGTGCGCCGTCGACGGTCCAGCGGAGGCGGGAGGGGAGAGGGAGGTGCATACGCAGGGTCGCCAACCGGTGTGCGGAGGATGGAGGCGAGGGCGCCAGGTCGGCGAGGCGGAGGAGGAGCTGCTGCCGCGCCGCCGCCGAGCTGGGACTGCCCGCCCGTCGCCGAGAGCCCGAGCTCGAGCGCCGCCTCCGTCGCCTTCATGCCGAGCGCGAGTGGGGGACGGAGCAGAAGATGGAGCGTCGCCTTCATGCCGAGCGCGAGTGGGGGAGGGAGCAGAAGATGGAGCGGCGGCGCTGCGAGGAAGATAAGAAACGGCGGCGGCTATCAGGCTGTGTGCCTAGGGTAAAGACTATGCGGCGGTGCGTGGGCTTTTTTAGATGGGCCACTAAATAAAAGCCCATACCATCTCTTTTCTTTTTCATTTCTTTTTTCTTTCTTACATATTTTGACAAATTAGCACATAATCTATATATTTATATATCTACAATAACATATTTACCTGCGATTTCATGAAGCCACATCGATCTCCATTATCCTCTATTGATCCCCATGTACTTGTAATTAAAATTCCTTGCTACATTTACATTGCTATTTTGATTTGCTAATATTGTAGACTATACCTTTTAAGCTACATTTGCATTACCATTTGTCAATATAATTTTCTTATATCCTAGACTATAATGTATGTATTCGCCACGCCGATGTGTGTATGGCGTCGCCACGCCGCGCGCCATAGACGCTGTAAAGGTGTGAAGGTGGTGGGTCGCCGCGCCTCGCCACGCCGCCGTAAAAACTATGGGTTGCAGTGAAAAGCTCAGTGATGAAGCCATTGAAGATGCCCTTGAGAAGGTACATCTGTGTTTTTTCGTTTGCTGTTATTGATAAATTATGTGCCAGCTGCAATTCTCTTATATGTGTAGTAGTGATTGGACGATGATTTGGATGCGGCACCACACATAGATTTATTACATTTCGCTTTTTGGGCAGTGATAATTGTTGTCATATGAATGTAGCTGTATTTGTTTTATTGACATGGTTTTATTTCTCTGAGATGTGGTTAACATCTAACATCTGTATGAGTTAGCAATTGATTAAAGTTGCATAGTTTGTTTTCATCGTGTATATAACACCTTATCCTGTGTGTTCTTGCTGACACATTGGGTGCGTGAGCTACCTTTTTTAGGCTGCCAACTATCTGAACATCAAGGGATTGCTGGAGGCGGGTGCTGACATGATCAAGGGCATGACTCCGGAGGAGATCCGCAAGATGTTCAACATTAAGAGCGACTTCACGCAAGAGGAGGATGAGATCCGCAGGAAGAACCAGTGGGCCTTCAAGCGATGGTCTTCCCTGGTGGAGGTGTGGTGCTGCTTACAAGAAAGATGGATGTCTGCACTGGGTATCATTCATGGTAATAACTCCAGCTGTAGATCACTGGGTATCATCTTGAACAGGACGAATAGTCTCAAAGACTTTGGCCAGTCATTCATTCGTGGTAAGAACTAAAGCTGTTGTAATTGGGTTAGTTCACAGTGTATTTCTGTGGTGATTGAGCATGCCTACCTATTTTTGCTAGTGTTGTCCAGAACAGAATGTCAGTGGAGGTCACAAATCCACAGTTCATGTGTACCCGTGTTCTGGAAATCTGACAGATATTTATGCTACAAATCTGTCATTCTTCTTGGCTGATGTAGCAGCTGTTGATTTGTCTAAAATTTGATAGATTTGGGGCCAATAAATCTGTCAACAGTTATATAGACAGACCCATTTTAAAAATGTAGAGGACAAGATAACGAAGAGGCAGGCTAACAGAATTTATTTCACAACCTTTTGAGTTATATTTATTTTTTTACAGTTTTTGCAAGACCATGCGTGCATATGAAGCACCTGTTAGTACCTGGATCGTCTAGGAGTAGATCCAGTGGATGAGTCCTTTTCAATTCGGGATAAACAAGCCTAGATCCGACCTAAAACATGAACTAGAGAGAGAGAGCGAGAGGTGTAGACGTAGCTGACCATCGGTGGGCTTGGTGGAGGAGCTCGCCATGGCAAGGGTGTTGGTGCAGCCCGGGTTGGTGGCGGCGTGGTGAGGTTCAGAGAGTGGCAGCGCGGGCGACGGCGAGTCGAGGAGGACGGTGGCGGTGCTTCCTGCCGCCGCTGTGGTCCCTTAGATCGGTTAGGGTTCGTCTGTGGGGTGTTTTGGCAAAACCGGTGAACCTCGTACCGTGAGCCGTTGGTCTCCATCTCTTTATATAGCGTAGTGTGACGGAGCCTACCAACCATGATTTGGTTGGACGCTCCCGATCAGAGCCAACTTGGTAGAGATCAATCTAACATTCTCCTCATTGTTCTTAACTTATGACTTAAACTTAAAAAATTTATCTCTTTTTCCATTTCATCACAGATTAGCGCATAGAGCGTGCCTCATCATAACAATTAGTACCATTAGATTAACAGTTACAATACACCTCTTTGTTTTGAAACAGATTCTCAACTAGGCCCTTATTGTCTAGGAATTATAGGCTTTTTCCGTAAACCCATACCGACTAAGTGTTCCCTGAACACATTGGGCGGTAAGCCTTTTGTAGGCGGATCCGCAAGCATTTTTTTGTACTTATATGCTCGAGACTAATAGAATGATCCCAGATTTTGTTTTTCACAACATAAAACTTTGGCCTTGTTCGCTGGTCTGGTTCCAGCGAACCAGCCGGCTGGTTCTCCTCTGGAGATTCAGCCAGTTTCAGTCGCTACAGTGTTTTTCTCTCACAACAAACTAGCCGGAACAGTGTTTTTCAGCCAAGTTTCAGACCAACGAACGGGGCCTTTATGTCAATGTGTTTGGCAGCACCACTTGATTTATTGTTGTGAGCATAACATACTGTTGGCTCATTGTCGTAGTACAATTTGAGTGGCTTATGAATGTCATCGACCACTTTCAACCCGGGCATTAATTTCTTTAGCCAGTTCACCTGCCCATGGTCTCATAACATGCTACAAACTCGGCATACATCGTGGACGATGCAGTGACGGTTTGCTTGGAGCCTTTCCACGATATAGCTCCCCCTGCGAGAGTAAATACACAATCTGATGTGGATTTTCTATCATCTACATCTCCGTCAAAATCTGAATCTGAATACCCTTCTATATGTAGGGAATCAGATCTTCTGTACATTAGCATGAGACCTTTTGTGCCTTGCAAATAACGCAAAGCTTTCTTTGCCATTCTCCAGTATTCTATTCCTGGATTACTCTGATATCTGCCAAGTATTCCGATAATAAAAGCTAAGTCAGGACATGTACATACTTGAGCATACTGCAAGCTTCCTACAACTGAAGCATATGGAACCGCTTTTATCCGATCGATCTCATATTGGTTCCTGAGACATTGGAATTCCCCAAAACTATCGCCCTTAACTATAGGAGCAGGTGAAGGTTTACACGCATGCATACTGCATTTTTTTAAAACCTTTTCTAAGTATGCCTTTTGTGGTAATCCTAAAACCCTATTTCTTCTATCTCGGTGAATCTCTATTCCTAAAACAAATGAAGCTTCACCGAGATCTTTCATGTCAAAATTTGAGGACAAGAACTTCTTCGTCTCCCGTAGTAGATTAACATCACTAGTAGCGAGTAAGATGTCATCCACATACAGGATTAGGAAAATAAATTTTCCATTCTTAATCTTTGTATAAATGCAATTGTCCTCTATATTCTTTTTAAACCCAAACTTTCTTAGCGTTCCATCAAACTTTAAATACCACTGTCTAGAGGCTTGTTTTAAGCCATAAATGGATTTCTTCAGGCGGCATCCCATACGTTCTTTTCCTTTCACGACAAAACCTTTTGGTTGTGCCATGTAGACATTCTCATCTAAATTCCCGTTAAGGAAAGTCATCTTTACATCCATCTAATGTAATTCTAAATCGTAATGCGTCACTAACGCCATTATGATTCTAAAAGAATCCTTGCATGAGACTGGAGAAAATATCTCATTATAATCTATTCCTTCTCTTTGCGTAAAACCTTTCGTCACAAGTCGCGCTTTAAATCTTTCAACATTCCATTTGGAGTCATATGTAGCTTTGTAGACCCATTTATAGCCTACTGTCTTGGCTCCTTTAGGAATTCTAAGTCCCAAACACCATTGGTGCTCATTGATCTCATTTCATCTTTCATGGCTTCAAGCCACTTTGATGAGTGAACGCTTCTCATGGCTTCTTCAAATGAGGTGGGGTCACCCTCCATTTGAAATTCTTCACATTCATAGACTTCGTAGTCATCAGGAATGGTTGGTTTTCTGGCTCTCTGAGACCTTCTAGAGGCCTCATTAGTTGGCGCTTGTTCCATATGGGGCTGTTGTTGCTCTTCCTCATGTGCGACAACGGGTTCTGTAGGATCCTAAAGGACAGGTTCCTCATGTTCATTTATTGCTGCCATGGGAGAACTAACAACAGGTGTTGTCACAACAATGTCCTGTACTGTTGGTGCAGTAGCCACAGGTAGCGAGAAAAATGGCTCCTGAACCATTGGAGTGGGCACATATACCCACTTCTCCTCAAAGTTAATTTCTCACGCTACCATGCTCCCCCTGACCATATCATCCTCCAAGAACATAGCGTGTCTTGTTTCTACAAACTTCGTATGTCTGTTAGGACAGTAGAAACGATAACCTTTTGACTTATCTGGATAGCCAATGAAATGTCAACTGATTGTCTTGGAGTTTAGCTTCCCAATATTTGGGTTAAATACTTTAGCCTCAGCTGGACAGCCTCTCACACGTAAGTGGTTAAGTGAGGGTTCGCTTCCTGTCCACAACTCATATGGTGTTTTGGGCACTGACTTGCTTGGTACTCGATTGAGAATATGAATGGTGGTTTTTAACGCCTCCATCCATAAACTTATTGGTAAAGTGGAGTAACTTATCATACTTCTCACCATATCCATTAAGGTATGGTTGCGTCTTTCAGCTACTCCATTCTGTTGAGGCTCGCCCGGTGTAGAGTATTGGGCAACTATGCCATTTTCCTGTAAGAACTTTGCAAAAGGTCCAGAAACTTGGTCATATGGGGTATGTCGACCATAGTACTCTCCCCCCACGGTCGGATCTTACTATCCTAATCTTTAAATTGTGCTGATTTTCTACTTTAGCCTTAAATATCTTAAATTTATTCAATGCTTCTGATCTTTCCTTAATTGGATAAATATAGCCATAACGAGAATAATCATATGTGAATGTTATAAATGAATCATAACCATCCACACATTTCACAGGAAAAGGACCACAGATATCTGTGTGAATTATTTCTAAAATTCTTGCGCTTCGTTTGGCATCTTTCTTTATTTTCTTAATATACTTTCTGTCGGGTTCATAAACCCGGGGTCCCTCAGGGACCGGCTTCCACGCCAAAGCTCGACCCGAGATCCTAAAAACAACAGGGCAAGGGGGCGGTCCAGCAATCGTCCGGAAGGCCTGGCCCAAGAAGAGCAACGCTCGCTCGTCAGCTACTTCGTCCCACCTATCCGACTAGAGCGCTCGATTTGGGCTCTAGCCGCCTCTGGATGGCCTCTCCGATCAGAAGGCCTGCCCTGAGCCCTACTTCCGACTCCGACCCCGCGTCTCTCCGACTGGGGTACGTAAGAACCCTGCTCGCCGCTCTTCTTCGACCGGCGCAATTGAAGCCGACTGGGGCCATTCGACCGGGGACGCCCGCTCAGAAGGGACCAGGGACGAACGGAGAAAGCTGCACGCGAATCAAACCACGGTACAGGGACCATACCCTATACACCTGCGGGAACAGTGTTCCACAACCACCCTAACACAAATAGTATTGTAGGCGCCGACATTTATCCCTACAGTATTGTAGGCGCCGTTGGATTCTCGTACGGCAGAAAGCCCCTCACATGCCTCTGGCCATCAATAGTGTTGCAGGCGTCAGGATTCACCATACCCGGTAAACGTGGTGAGACTCCTCCCATGCCTCTGGGCAAGCAGTATTTTGCAGGTACCGACGTCAACCCTTCCTGAAGAAGACACCGCAACTTCCCACGTGCACCTGACATTCTACAGGACATCAATAGTGTTGTGGGCGCTTACCATTATCCAATCCTCATCGGCGTGGGCAACAAGGCTTAAAAGCATCTGTACCCTCTCCCTCTCACCTGTAAAGCCATCCCCTTCATCTATAAAAGGGGATGCACTCCCTCCAATAGGAGCCCAACTGATTGATTCAAGCTCAGTTCCTTTAGATTCATTAGTCCAATAGCTCAACCACAGAACCGCCAGGTTCGGACCTCAAGCACACGCTTGAACGCTTAGCTCATAGAGGAGTTCCTATCGCTCTCGGCCCTTCCGACCAGAGCCGACCGGGCCTCTGGTACCCCCCATCTTTCTCCTTCTCGTTTGTAACCCCACTGCAGACTTCGAGCACCTGGGCTCAGGAATAAAGTCACCGACCGACCCAAACTGGACGTAAGGCACGTTGCCTGAACCAGTATAAATCCTATGT